TCCTCCTGCATCCTTCCCAGCCCCGAGCATCCCGCTCAGAGTGACGGGGCAAAGCACACGGGAAGGAGGGGAAGGAGCACGGAGGGAGCCTGGCAAGATGCCACACTGCTGAGCACATGGGAAAGGTTGGGGTGAAGGAGACCTGAGGGACATAAAGACAGTCTGGGGAGGGAAGGACCTTGGGCAGAGCCGAGGCTTTGTGACACACAGCTTTAGATAAACTGCCAGAGTGCGGTATGCAGCTCCGACCCAGAACTGGGTTAGTTTGTCATCGGTGAGGAATGTGCATTATTCACAGCCATTTGGCTTCTTCTCGCCACCCTGCTCTCAGGCTCCCCAGAAGGACACGTCGCCAGGACCCCCGCCCCCCCCCCGCAGCCACCACTATTTTGGGCCATGCTTCCAAACATGGGCACTTCCCACTGGACACCCAGGCTTCCCCCAGGACGGCTGGGAGCAAGGCAGCACCCAAAGGAGAGGCCTCAGGGAGGGTGCAGGGAGGGGATGCTCAGCCCTGGCCCCAGGGACTCAGCCATGAGCCTGGAACAGCAGGTTCCCATCACGTCCATCTCCCTGTGGATGCCCCTGGGGAGACCCGACCCCCCAGGAGCCAGCACAAGAAGGGATATTCTAACCTGTTCCCTGCCCAGGAACTGAACATTTCTGAGCATTTCACAGTGGAAGCAAGTAGGAATTTGGGTGCCAATCCTCCAAGGAAGGAAAATATCTCTACTCCAACCCAGAGGAAGAAATGTTTGATGGGAACAGAGAGGGAGCAGCGGGGGATGCCAGGCTGGCAACAGCAACATGCCATGGCCATGACTGTGCTGGGAACCCCCAGCTTGTGGCAGCCGGTAGCTCGCTGCAGCCCAACATTTTTCTGCTTGGATGGCTTAAAGGCAGATGCCAGCACCTCCCTTCCCCCCATGCTGCCTCGACATCTCCATCTGTCCACCTTGCTGGGGCCACTTACTGCCTCACAGCCATCTCTGTGCCACCAGCAGAGCCACCCAGATTGCCTTAGCGTGACCCCACTCGCTGTCCCCCAGCAGTAGGCACATCCAAGCAGCACATTTGCACCTGGAGCACTGTTTCTCTCTGCTTTAAATGGGTCAAGCCATTAAAATCCCACCCAAACCCCCCCCAGGGGAGTGCAGTGGGCAGGCTTTGCCCCCTCCATGGCCACTGCTACCCCAGGATGATGTCCCATCCACACAGGGACACCAGAACACTGGTCATTGTGCCACCCTCCCCAGGCTGGTTCTCCATCCCACGCACCTCTGCCTTGCTGGAAAGCGCTGCAGAGCCGCACTCATCCTCTGCCTGTCCCACGTGTTCGAGGATGGACGCAGGTGAGGCACCCAAAGGTGGTATCTGGAAAGAGGCAAAAGCTTTTGAGCACAAACAGCCCCAAGCCCTCCTTGTGCTTAACCAACCAGCCCTGGCAGCATCAGCTCTCGCAGACAAATCTCTGGACAGGGCCAGCAGCCCACCTTGCCCCAGTGCCTGAGCCCACACTGCCTCCAATCCATGTGCCAAGCCATGGCATGGCTCCTGGAGTGAGGAACACCAGAGACCTTCAGTGCCCAGCCCTGGAGCCAAGGTTTGGAGCTCGTGAGCTGCCCTCCACAGCAGCCCCATCCCACGGGACCAGGACCCTTGCAAGGAGCCATTGGTGAGCACTGGGCTCGGCTGCCTGGGAGTCCTGGCAGAGCTGGAGGCAGCTGCCTGGGACGCTGATGCAGCAGATTGGGGCTAGCAGGAGGGGAGAGGAGAGGAAGGACATGGTGCATTCAGTTCATTAACACTTGCAAGGCCTGCTCTGCCTTCTCCATCACCAAGTCATACCCCCTTGAAACCCTCCCATCCCTCCACTGCAATCCCAGAGCTGGGGCTTCCCTGCCCGCTCAGCCCCACATCAGCTTTGGAAACAGAATGGCCTCAGTCCCCGTGCAAAACCTTCCTTCCCCTGACCTCTCCCAGCCCAAACACTTCTCAGCTGAACCCTTCCTCTCTGTGCCGGGAAGGTGGCCACGGAGGAGGATACGCGTGGGCAGGGAGCGGGGACATCACGTCCGTTGGCCTTGCAGTGAAATACCAGCACTGGGCTGGGAGCAGCCTCTGGGATGGCTTGAAAAATGGTTGGCAGAGAAAAAACCCCCACTCCGAGTCTGGCTGTGCCTGCAGCCCCTGCCAGCTGGGGCACAGGGGACAT